ACAGAATTCAGTTCTGTCCAAAAGAAGATGGCAGTCTGAAAATGTATACCTGCTATGTACATTTAGTGGCTTAGATTAAGTTTCTGTGCTTCATTCACTTCATGTCCTTGTCTTAATTCATTAGCATTTGATTTATTTCTATAATTTCTATCAATGCTTATCAACTACTTGCTGCTATATTATGAATCAGTTGACCTTTAGACTTCAAAACTATCTCTATGAGGAGTGTGTTGTAGTAGTCAATCTAGAATTCTAAAGGTAACAATGGACACATTGGAGGAGCCAGACAAAGAGTGCCTCTCCCATAAACAATATGGTGAGATGTAATTTACAGAAACGTATACCAGATTGGTTGTCACCCAGATCAACAAGGACCATGCGAGGTGTTCTGGTTCCTGGACATCTGGTGACAAGTGGGCTACAGGACTCAGGCTTGTTGGCTGAGCAACCAGGGCCAGCACCTGCAGGACTACTGGAAGAAAAGTTGTTTACCCATTGCAAATATACCAAGACTTAAAACAAAGAAATAATGATCTGCTATTACAAATCAAGTCCAGTGAGAAGAGGATATCTGAAAAGAATGCAACAGTTCTGGAAAGAACAACATCCAGAATCAGAAATAACAGAACAGAAGCTAGTCAATTTATAATATGAAATAAAGTATTCACAGAAGTAGAATTGGAAGAACTACAAAAGTCTACCCAGGCTAAAGAAACTGAAGCCTTGCCAAAAGTAGCTCATACTGTAGGGGCAAACCAGGGGAAGTTGGCAGTAGAGGAAGCCAGCATAGTTATTGAATTGTTTCATTCCCAAACCAGGCACCCTCTCCTTTGCCTTCTCCTCAGAAAGAACAAAGCCTTCTAACTAAAAAACAAGAAGAATTAAAACAAAGAATAACTGAGCATATAGAACAGCACAAAAACAGCAGAATAAGGTTGTCTACATTGAAGCTTGTTACAAAGAAACAGGTAGCACAGGTATTAAATGATGCCAATACTGTAATATCAAATATAAATACCAGCTGACTGCAACAAACAAGCCAACTGATGTACAGCATGGCTGTAGTTATAACTGATTACTTTGGATGCAAAATCAACAAACAAGAAAAAAAGCCAAACAGTGCCCCACCAAAATGGA